ATGCAGCTGTAACCTCACATGGGCTGTGTTTACAGTAGATAAGACGATATGCTTGATGACCACAATGGTAAAGGTTTCATACACTTAAATCCTCTCTCCTTTCCCTCCCAGCTACCCAGAGAACGGCGTGGTGGAGATACGACCGGTTCACGTGCGGCCACGTGCCAGAACCATACTGCGGTGGGACCAGCTCGAGGTGGGCATGCACGTGATGGTGAACTACAACATGGAGACGCCAGACGAGAGGGGCTTCTGGTTCGACGCCGAGATTCTGACCCTCAATCAAACCTCCCGCACCAACAAGGAGCTCCGAGTCAACATCCTCCTGGGGTGAGGATCTTCCTTCCTAGGTGGGAGGGTGATGCATTGGGCGTTAAAGGATGATTGTTGTTTTGTTTCCTTCTTTAGAATATCTCTTTGGCCAATTTTTTTTTGTTTGTTTTTTTCTTCCCTCTCTTTTCTTGCACTTTCATCTCTCTTTCTTCCCCTCTTTGTCTCTCGCTCTCCCCTCAGGGGTCCTGGAGATGTAATTGGAGATTGCAAAGTTCAGTTTCTGGATGAAATCTACCAGGTGGAGAAACCAGGAGCTCGTGCACTGTCGGGCGCTGACGGACAGTTTAAACGTACGAACCGGCTCTCAAAACGCTCGCCCAGAGTACTAGTTTTGACGATAAACTGACGTGCAGCAGTCGCATGATATCGTCTTTCTGTCCGTATGTGTGCGTGAGTGTTCCTTTTCTTGTTTTTGACTCCAGGGAAGAGTGGGCCGGAGTGTAAGCACTGCAAAGCCGACCCTGACGCAGAGTGTCGATTCTGCTCCTGCTGTGTGTGCGGTGGGAAGCAGGATGCTCACATGCAGCTGCTGTGTGATGAGTGCAACATGGCGTTCCACATCTACTGCCTCAACCCACCACTGGCCACCATCCCAGACGACGAGGACTGGTGAGAGAGAGAGAGAGAGAGAGAGAGAGTAGCTCTACAACTAGCCAGAAGATTCTACGCTTCATGGTTGTTTCCAAAGGCTGATTAATGGCGTAGTAATTAAGTGGTGATTGAGGTTGAAACCAATAAAAAAATAAATAAAGTTATGCCCTAACAGGTGGGAGTTTATTCACTGCGGAGACTTTCAGGGCTTCTCTGCCAAACAGAACTGAGCATGTAAACAATCATTTTTTTGTTCCTGATACTGAGAAGACGATCCCCACCCTCCTTTTGTGTTTTGGGCGTCTTTTATTACTTTATAACAAGCTTCTTGTGTTGTTGGAAAACGGCTAAAAGCACTGATCAGGGAGCTTAACGATTAACAGGTAACTGCTAGTAATAAGTTAGCAGAGAGCATTGTGGGGGTTTAGCGAGCAGTGGGCACCATGACAAAGACTTCTGTGATGGTTAATAAATATCGGCACATGTTCACATCTTTAAAACAAGCTGCAGTTTTGTAGGTCTGTGTACCTGTAGCTCAGTGGTGTATGTAGCCAAGCCTTAATAGCAGCCTATGTCATGTGTCCAATGTTTAAAGTAGCTATATGATATAATGTACATTGCATTTAATTTGTGTTATCAATTAATGAATACTTGATTGATAACACAGCAGATTGTCAGATAAGAAAATTGTTCAAAATTTGCATCGCTAGTGCTGATAACACTGCTGTGAGATGTTGTATGGGGGTCATAGATAGGATATCATTGATGTCTTTGTTATTTGCAAAAAACAAAGAACTCATAATTTATATATCAAATCAAGTTTATTGTCATTTTGCTGCACATACAAAAGTAGTACAAACAAGATGAGAGAGAGTTTCTTCATATATACATTTATTTATATGTAATGGAGCATTTGCTGTGGAGGACAGCTGATGGACTGAGTATGCAAGAATGTTCAGATCAGATTATATAAATGTTTTCAGTTATTCGGTTTTTTCTCATACAAGTCAAAGAAGAAAGAGAAGTTTGAAAAAGAAAATTTTGCAAGACCCCTCATCCTTCTTTCCTCATTTGCCTTGATTTTGCCTTCTATCCATTCATCTATTTATTTATTATTTTTTACATACATGCCTGTGTGTGCGAGTAGGTACGCTTGTGTATATGAGAGTAGAATTGTATATCTATATGTCTGTATGTTTTTATTTTCTTTTACCTTTGCCGTTAAAAACAAAACTTGAATACTATAGTCAAAGTAAGTCTGCTCTACTTTCACATTAGTAACTTCTCAACAGAAACGTTTTGGTGGTTGCAGCATTTCTTTTTAGGCAGCTTATGTCTGAATTTCAGTCTGTGCCAGAATAAGGCCAATATATATACTTTGGATTTAACCTGACTGTCAGAATACTGTGATCTAAACCTCTCAGATATCAAAAGCACTGAGCAGGAAATTACTTTTTTTTTTTTTTCTCCTTCTGCCAGGTACTGTCCAACCTGTAAGAACGACACCAGTGAGGTTGTCAAGGCGGGCGAGAAGCTCAAAGCCAGCAAGAAGAAAGCCAAAATGCCTTCGGCAACGACTGAGAGTCAAAGGGACTGGGGAAAGGTGAGACCTAAGGGCACCCGAAGACAAACGGAATACCAGGTGGACTGACAGCTGCTCTGTTAGACCCTAAGTAAAAATTTAACATTAGGCCTGAGGAAAGGCCCGTGGTCCTGCTACAGACTGACTTGAAGTAGCAAAGGTAGTGTGTCAAAAGTTTTTTTTATCAGCAACAGCCACTTTTCTCGGTTGCTTTTACCATCAGTTAAATACCAAAGTGACTGAAAATGCTTGAGTCTCTTTTCATGGGAACACTCTAGTGGTCTGTAAACACTTAGGACAGAAGATAGATGGAGCATTTTCTGTGTCCACCAACCAGGTTTACACTTGGTGCGAGCAATCCATTTTCCAAAATTTAAAAACCAGATTGCTGACGATGCTTTATGATTATATGTCAACAATCTTTTGAAATGCTGCATTTTCCCTTCTGGAAATAACATTTTCAAATTCATACACTCGAGACAGAATCTGTGTCTCCAAGACAACACGAGTTCAAAGAAGAAGTGGACTTGAAGTGTCTTAAGGGTTTGACTACTTTTTATTTCCAGACATGCTGTTTTCATGTAAATGTCTGTGTTTGAAACAGCCTAATACATCCGACCACAGAGGTTAGTCTGACCTGAATTATAGGGGGGGGCATGATAGCAATTCACAATTCAGTTTATCGGTATAAAGGTCATGTTAACAATATCACCAAAACATCAAGGAGGGTGTAATTCCAAAACACTAAAGAAAAAGAATGAAGAAGAAAAAATACATGCAGTTACAACAGAATCTGTTTTTGCCGTCATCTAGTTCTGTGAAGTTTGGGATTCGTTTACCTTTTGAAGTATTCCTCTTTTAGACCATCTTCGTTGCTCCCTTACTTTTCGTGACCAGCCTCTTTCTTCTGCTGGAAGCCTCGACTTTTCACATCGTTCTTCCCCGACGGCTCGGCTGTGGTCACCGAGCTGGTATTTAGTCAAGATCTGCATCTGCTTTTCACGTCAGGAGATATTCTGCATTTATATTCATGGTTTAGGGCTAGGTACCAACAAAGTTTGTTTTGGTTTGATTCCTACATTGTTCCCGACAAGCCTGTTTATCCATGTAATAACTTGGTCGAAGTCTGATTAGAGGTTGGAGAGCAGAGCTGGTCTGAGGTCGATCAGTGTCGGCTTTTATTGATAAATCACGGTACCGGTTGACAGAAGACACTTTTGTGGTCGGTGTGTGTTGAAGGCTCGATCTGGGATGGAACCGAAATTGAAGTGTTCTGTTTTTTCAGTGTTAATTATCAGTGGGTGACGGCCTATGATGTGATATCGGCACATCGTTTGTATGAAGGCTCAAATGAAATATTGACACTGACAAGCTGATGATGCCTAAAAGTTTTTAGTTTTGTTTAAAAATCTTACATAAAAATAAATATAGCATGGCTTAGAGTAAGTACAAGTAGTTTTCTTCGTTCTTTCTTAAATGTAGCCGTAATATATTAATTTGACTACAGCAGGGACCTGATGTTATGCATATATCAGTATCAGCATCAGCAAAAGGTTAGAAAATATCGTCACACCAGATATCGTCAGAAATCCAATCATGTGCATCCCTACAGAATCGACACAGAACTGATTGTGCTTAAATGAAAACTGCTGTTACACGATAGGAGCCTGTAACCTGCAGTCGCCGTTGCACAACCTTGGCACCAAAAGTTTGGCCGAGGCCGTTCGTTAGCTGATTGATTGATTCGCTCATTCATTATTCATGCATCACACGTGTTCCGTTTACTTCCGACAAACAGCTTTGTACCTCCCTGTATCTTTTATGCGCTCGGTGTAATTGTCTGCTGTGTGTTTTGCTCGATCAGAGACATGTCGAGAGTTTTGTTTGTACCTTTTCAGAAGTCTTCTCAGATGTTGCCTGAGCACACTGCGCGTATTCCTGAGGATTAAGTGATCAGTGGAGTTTTTGATCCAGTCAACATTACTTACTGTCGACCTAACTTTAGATCAGGTTTGATGGAGTTCCTCAGTAATGTCGTGCTCGGTTTTGCAAACGCCTGCAACTGTAATTACTGATGGATTAGTGATTATTAAGCTTTTCTCATATAATGATAACATGACTAATGAACACCTTATAAACCTCCTCCTTTGACTTTTTCGTGGCATTACAGAGCACAAGCCGGAAAATTACGTTTACTTTTTTTTTTAACTTGGCAAAAACTTGTATCATTGGAGCTGCTGAGGCATAAAACGAGACCGGAGGAAGACATCTGACATGTATTTAAATTTGTTTAAAAAGAGCATCTGTTTTTATCATACTGTTAAATATTTTTCCTCAAATTCTCCTCAGAGTCTTCTCATGGCAACACTTTTGAGATATTGTGTGGCTCCTTTCCATCCTGGCCTCGCTGTCTCCCCGACGCTCTGCTCCATGGTGTAATGCGAACAATGCCATTAAGCATGACTTAGCCACTTTCCTGGAACTGCCAATGGAAAATAACTCCTTTCTTTACCAGAATGCTCCCTTTCTCTGTGGACTAATTGAAAACAGCCTGGCTTGTGTGTTTGGGCAGATTTAAGTGCTGTGAGTCACACGGCATTTGTAGTTGACTTTAATATTATCGCAGAGTTTTAAGCCTTAAAATATAATGTATTTCAAAAGCTTTTTGTGGATTCATATGCTCATCATTTCTCTATATGTAACATCATTTTCCTTTAGCTATTGACCACAGATTTAGCTATGTTTGATACTCTTATAACCACTCTGCTCTTGAATGGCTTAAATAAATGCTGTTTAAAAGCATTTGCAGCCATCTCGGCATTTAATGGTATTTATTGTGCACATACAGTCATGACTCAATAATCCGACCCTTAGCAATCCGAAAACCTTGCTACCCGACAGGTTCCGACGAACAGAACCTATTAAAAATAGCCTTAACATACCGACAGCCTTGGATTCTGACTCTAGCATGACATTTTATGTCACAAATAAGGATAGCGACGTATTATCTGACTCAACAATCTGACAGATTGGCTACGTTCAGACTGCAGGACTTGATGCTCAATTCAGATTTTTTTGTGAAATCAGATTTTTTGGTGAGTTTGTTCACATTTCCAATTAAATGCGACTTGTATATGATCTGCTGTGTGAACTTCATACGACTCAAAAGTGTCCGGCATGCTCAGAAGAGGACACGACGACGTCACACACAGCGAGCGTGCTCAGTGTTTATGGAAGTAAATATGGATGGTGGCGGCGGCAGGGAAGTGGTGCCGCTGCCACCGCCGTCACCGATGGTGGAAACAGAACTGTGACCACTACCTAAACTAGCATCAGCAGCCAAGCACTGCCTGTGTGTTCCAGACAGGGTGGACATGCCCCTCCCTGACCACGCTAAATATTTGGATATTCATCATTAATTGAGCCCAGAAAGTGCTACTGGGACCAGCCCTACTAGTTATTATAACAAATATAATCACTGCATATTAACAACAAATGAGCCTTCCAACATCAAGCCCTCCTCGTATCTGGACCTCCGTCTTGACAATCCGACAGCCTTGCTATCCGACATAAAAGACGACTTTACATTTAGTGTCGGATTATCGAGTCATGAATGTATGTCAAATTCCGTTTTCTTTCTTGATGTAATTGCAGGGTATGGCCTGCGTGGGGCGTACTAAAGAATGCACAATTGTTCCTTCAAACCACTATGGACCCATACCCGGTGTTCCTGTTGGAACCACATGGAAGTTCAGAGTACAGGTAAGGTCAAAAAACCTAACAAATACTTTTACTATAAAAACTATAAGAAAGCAGTTTTAGAGGTCTTATCCTACACTTCTGTGCCTTTGTCCCTTCAGGTGAGCGAGGCAGGCGTTCACAGGCCACACGTCGGCGGGATCCACGGGCGCAGTAATGACGGCTCCTACTCGCTGGTGCTGGCCGGGGGCTTTGAGGATGAAGTGGTGGGTTTTATGATGCGTCGCCCTCACTGCTAGTTTACTGTGTCACATGTGAAGTCCGGGATCTGTCCTTTGCAACAGCATGCCGATCACTGTGTTATGGTTACTGGTAGGACCGGGGAGATGAGTTCACCTACACAGGCAGCGGGGGTCGCGACCTCTCAGGAAACAAGCGGATTGGAGAGCACTCTTTCGACCAGACCCTGACCCACATGAATAGGTAGGACGCTTCTATCTGGGTGTGCCTCCTTCCTGTTGCTCTGTTACTTTGGACATAGAATATATTAAAAACTAGACAACCCTTGTGTCTTGCTTCAGGATGATTTGCTTCAAGCTCAGGTTGTCAAACTTGAATTTTAAAAACTGATATTGTTTAGCTGAAAAAACTTCCCCTATTTACTTCCTAACAGAAATCCATCAGTGATTATTCTGACTCACCCTTGATAAACGTCTTTGGCTCCTTGTTCCTGCAGGGCATTGGCCTTAAACTGCGATGCACCTTTGAATGACAAAGACGGAGCAGAGTCCAGGAACTGGCGGGCAGGAAAACCCGTGAGAGTCGTGCGCAGCTCCAAAGGTCGACGGATCAGCAAATATGCTCCTGAGGAAGGAAACCGCTACGATGGCATTTACAAGGTACCATCAGACGTTGTGCACCAAAACCAAATCTGTTCAGGTCAACTCTGTAGAATCGAGCCCCTCTTAAAACTCTGTAACTGAGCAAGCCAATAAAATCCTGCAACAGTAAATAACCCCACAGTCCCAGAACAGTAGCATTTCCTGTTATTTTAGAAAATGTTGTGGTAAAGCAGAAGCTCCTTGATTCTGCTTCACCTCACAGACCAGTTTAAATTCAAAAAAGCTCTTTCTTTGGTATGAAATTTACTGTTATTGTGGTTGTTGGTGGCTCGCAGGTGGTGAAGTACTGGCCAGAGATTGGAAAGTGTGGTTACTTGGTGTGGAGGTACCTGCTGAGGCGGGATGATATGGAACCGGCACCGTGGACACCCGAAGGTGTGGAGAGGATCAAAAAACTGGGGCTCGCTGTTCAGGTTAGTCTGCAGCTAGTACCGTATAAACCATTCCATGTATGTGTGCATAAAATATGATACAGCACGATATGTAGCGTAAACAGCAACTTTGCATGTGTATTAAATCATTTTATATGATTCATGAAGTGCTAATGTAGAGCTCCACTGGCTTCATTCTCTTTGTGCATCCAGTTCGCAGACATAAAAACCAGAGAAGAAGTTCAAATTGAAGAAATAATAACTCTGTGTTTGTGTCTCTCCCTGTGTGTCTGCAGTACCCACCAGGCTACCTGTCGGCCATGGCTAACAAAACAAAGAAGGAGGCCTGCGCCAGACCCGGTCGCGGCGGCCGGACTAAGCACTATCCCGGGAGGGGGAGGCCACGGAGACAACGCAAGATCAAGGAGAAAGAGGAAATTGATGAGGAAGAGGAGGATGAGCCTCCGATGGAAAACATGGAAGAGGAGGCGCCACAAAGTAATGGAGAGCAGAAGACAACCGAAGATAGTGGTGGGTGCTTTTACAGATGAAGCTCAGAGCAAGTCAGACAAGGTGTTGTGAGAAGAGGACAAGTGAGGACGGCGTGATCAACCTTAATAAAGATGGCGGATTATTATCCACCAGGATCTCACTTACCTCGAGCATGGACCCCTGTAGATGTTATTTATCTAACAGCTTAGTTTTACTGTTCATGATTGATTTGATTCTCTCAGAGTAGCTTCCACTTTTTAAGTCATATTTGTGTGTCTGTGCCAGAATCGTCACCAGCAGCCGAACCTCCGTCTAAACGGGTGAAGATAGAGGAGACCTTCCAGCTGTCAGAGCAGCAGCAGCAGCTGATCCGAGAGGACACAGCCAACAAGAAACTCTGGGATGAAGCCATGGAAAACCTTAAAGAAGGACCGGTATGAATCCCAGCACATTATGACACTACAGACTAGTTACATGCTGTCAGGTACGCCTCTTCATCACGTTCCCCTTCACACTGAACGTAAACAAACACACTGGGCTCCTGTGGATGTTTCTGAACGGCTGACTGGGACTGTTTTACAGGACATAGCAGCTAGTTGCAGATTGGGATGTGATTATTCCCAAATTTGCAGAGTGCTATGGTATGGCCTTCGTTGGAGTTTTTTGCACAGTGGGCAGAAGTAGCACAGGGTTTCTGGAGAATTTGGAACTTCCTAATGTGTTTGGGCACCATCGATGGAAAGCAATTACAAATCAAAGCACCTCCAATGTTCGGCAGCAACTACTTCAGTTACAACTCTTTAAATGATGAATTAAGAAGGTGTGGATGACGGAGACGCTGCTCGCACAGACTCGCCTCAAAACAAGCGTTTGTTTTGTGCCCCATTCATTTTTTCTGGCACATGCACTGTCTGTGCACACAATCTGCACAGTCACACATTTTGGGCTGCACACGGGCGCCCACATCCCTTTTGGGCAGATGACACAATTTGTGTCATTCTCCTCTCTTGCACACCATGAATTGGCCTTAACACATTTCAAACCTATGAAACTGTGTTTAAGGAAGCGTTCAAGAGATAACTCACCCCATCCACCCTCCAAGAAAATGAAAT